GCGGGCGGAGGGTGACGCGCCGCCGTGTTTGTTTCCTAGGGATTGTTATGGAAACCAGGGCGGTGCCGCTACTGTCGGTCTCAGCGCAGGCTCGCGGGGCGCGAGGGACGGGCGGGGGGGGGGGGCTGCGGTGACCCCTGCGCTGTCCCGGCTCCCTCGGGGCCATCAGCTCCAGGAGCGTCCCCCACAAACACACAGGAGCCAGGTGCTTCCCCTGGCTCCCGGAGCCCGGGACGCATCAGCAAGATGCAAGGTGAGGGTGGCGGAAATGGACGTCCGCGTCCCAGGTGTATACCTCCTTCTCCTGCCCAGCCAGTGGGGCGGCTCAGAAATGCCATCTGACCACCTCACTGGGCCCCCTCAGGACTACGCCCAACTCCCAAGACTCCCCAAACGGCCCCCGTCTCCCATTGGTCCAGTCTTTACAAGATTCCTGGCCCCTCCAAGGCCCTGCTGCCCCCCAGCTGTGACCTGGGCCGGTGGGGCCCTGGCTGGTGCCCCCACTGCCACACCCTGAGGCCCAGATCCTCCTTGCAGCCGCTGCCCTGCCGGAGGCTCCCTGTGGACCCGGTCTGGCTCAGACTTGCCTCCCTGATCTTTAGGGCTGACGATCTTAGGGCTGACGGGGAAAGCCTGACCCCCTCCAGTCCCTGGGTCAGAGCACCGGCGCACTGCCCATTGGCTGTGGCCGGGGTGGGGGATGGGACTGATTGCCAACGACCCTGAGGGCAGGGCAGGTCGAGGACTAGCAGGCCTCCAGGGCTCAGGTGTGCGCAACACACTTGGGGAGGGAGGGGTGACGCTCAGGGTCCATGAACAGGCCTAGCAGCTGGGCTGGTGAGACTGGAATTCGAGGCAATTTTGCCTGGGCTTTGGCTCCAGGTTGCAGGGATTCCTGGAACCGTGCTCAACTGCAAGGAGGCTGGGGCAGGGGGCCAGGGAACTCCATCTGGCCTGACTGTGGACCCCAAGCTGGTTGGCAGAGGGAGGGAGCATAAGGCTGTGGTGTCCCAGCTTTTTGCAGCACCCTGGAGAGGAGGGGAGGAGCCTTCCTCCCACCTGGGCCCTGGTGGGCAGATCCCTTCTGGGAAAGGGCAGAGTCTGTTCCTTCCCCCAGGCCTCAGCGCCAGGAGCGGCCTTGGGCCCAGCAGGCCCACCCTGGGACCGGACCTTGGGGCAGACAGGGGTTCCCGGGAGACCAGCTGCTGAAAATAGGCCCTGGGAATGTCTGTGCGTCCCTCAGTCTGCCAGGCCTGGGGGGAGGGCAGGCAGGCTGGGGCCTGAGGAGGGAGCCGCTCTGGTCTCCAGGCTCAGCCGTCGCTGGCTCGCCCTGGGGCACATGTTGACACTCAGGGCACCTGTGTGCAAGAGCAGGGGACAGGCCCAGCCAGCCTCCAGCCCCGGGGGGGGGACAGTCTTACCCCTGAACACACCTCTTGGCTCCTCCGCACCAAGGAGCTGACCTGAAGGCCTGGGTGGGGCGCTGGGTGTGGGCTTCACGGGAGAGGCCAGAGCACGTGCCTCAGTCTGCAAGGAGGCCGGAGCCCCAGGAGCAAAACCTCCCTGGTGGGGGCGGGCGGCCCCTGGGGGCAGATTCCTCAGAGGTCACTGGGGCCAACTCTGCCACTCCAAGATGCACGTGGGCCTGTCCAGAAACCTGTGAGGCAGGGTCCTGCCTGGTTCCCATCTGAGCCCCCACCGAGCCTGGGTGGGGGTCAGGGTGTGGGGCTGTGAGAGGAAGAGTTAGCAGAGGGAGGCAGCCTTGGCTGCGCACCCAGGACCCTGCATCGGGCTGCTCCCGTCTCAGGGCCCCAGGCACCCTGGTGCTGTGCTGGTGCAGGTGGGGTGTTCTGGGCACAGAAGCAGCCCAGGGCAAGCAGTCGACTGCTTCTGGCCACCCTGTCCCTCCCACTGCAGACAAGGCCCCAGGCAGGGCCTGCTGGCTGGTGCTGGCGGCACTGGGGGGCAAGGTTGGGGGCTGCACCTTGGGGTCTATGAGGGGGTCTGGTGTGTTCCTGGGAGTCATTTGTTCCTGCAACAGTTCCCCACAGCAGCCCACTCGAGTGGGGTCAGGGGTGGAGGGCTGGACAAGGTCCCAGCTGACCCAGCCATTCTGAGGCAGGTAGACGTGGTGCAGGCCAGCACCCCTCCCCCACAAGTGCACCCTGGGCCAGGCGGGCTGATGCAAGTGGGAGGCCTTGCAGCCCGTGGGGCCCAGGTCTCAAGGATGCTGTCGGGGCTGCTGGCGGGCTGCAGGTGGGGCGCCCGGACATAGAGCCTGGGGGGAGGCAGAAGCTGTCACCCGTGGCCCCAGGTGCTGGGGAGCTGCAGCTGATAAGGTGTCCCCCAGCCCATGAGCAGGTGGGACAGGTGGGGGCCTCAGGAGAGTTGGAGGGGCACCCCAGTCTGTGGCTGGAGCTTTGGGGGAGTGTTCAAGGGAGTGTGTGTGTGCACGTGTGCGCAAGGGTGTGTGAGTTGAGTGGAAAAACCCTGCTGTGTACCAACCAGAGGGCGAGGCCTATGACCCTTGGCCCCCTTTGGCATCCTCCTCCGCGAAACCCACAGTGTAACCATAGCAACGGGCAATAACAGCAGGGAAGACTGGGAAGGATTTTCTCACCAGGTTTTTGGTTTTCCGTGGCTAGGGGGCATCCCCACAGGGCGAGGCTGAAGTCCTCATGTGAAGGAGGGTGGGGGAGGGGAGAACCGACGGCTCCCTGCCCGCCTGCCCTGAGCTCTGGAGTGGGCGGGGGTGGGCTGGACAGCAGCAAGGGAGACCAAGTGCCCTGAGAGGAGCCTTGTGCCCACCCCCGAGAGATGCAGATGCCCAGATGGCTGCCTTCCACACTCGGGTGCGCCCGCAGGCCCAGGGACACACACAGGCGTGGGAGAGTGCGGGTCCTGCCCCTCCCGGGCCCTTCTGGAGGCAGCCTGCCCCCGTGCTCCAGGCGTCTGCCCAGCACACTGGCCAGGGCTAGGCCTTCCCTGGAACCGCAGGCGGCGTGTGCACCGGGGGCAGCCACTCCACGTCCACCCTCCAGCCTTCCTGGGCCCTGCCCTGCCCCCCATCACCACTGGCCTCCCTCCTCTCTCTCCTGCTCTCTCCCAGATCTGAGCCAGGAGATGAGGGAAGTCAGGGCCCGCCCTGCGGCAGCTGCATCTGGCTCAGGCCAGGAGGACCCAGAGCAGTGGGGGGGAGGGTTCGTAGGGGGGGGGGAGGGCTGGGCTGGGGGCCTTCATTCCAGTAACCATAGCGAGGTGTCCCAGTGCCAGCAAGAGTGCAGCAGCCCAGAAGTGACTATGGCTGTCAGACTCCAAGGGGGGGGCAGGCTGGTGTGGGTGACTGAGACACTGGGGGTTCCACCAGGGCAGGGCATACACCCCACTCTCGAGGGCAGTGGGCAGCCAGTCACTGAGGGTCCCAGGACCCTGGACTGGGAGAGTCCCAGAGGAGGCAGAACTGTGGTCTCAGTGAGGGGGTCTCGGGGCAGAGGGAGTCACTAGAGAGGGGTGTGGGGAGAGGGGCCTGGAGTCCAGTGTGGCACCCGCACTGGCAGTAGGCTCTGGGGTGGGGCCTCTGTCACCCTTGCACCCTGGGAGTGCCTGCCCTCCCCCAAGCCAGCCTCCTGGGGTTGGTGGGGGGTGTTGAAATGGGGCCACCCATGGCTCCCTCTATATCCCAGACCAGGCTGTAGGGCGGGGGACGGGAAGGTGGGCTTCAGGGAGGGCGAGGTGGGGGTCACTGGGTGTTGCCAGGGCTGAGGGTGAGCATGGGGAGGCCAGGAGCCCCTGTGCCCTGTGGGAGGAGGGTCCTCCATGGGGACGAGGCCTGGACAGGCTCAGAGGTGATGTGTTTGTCAAGATGGGTGTGTAGAGGGGAGAGGACAACGCTGGTAACCGTGGAGGCTGGAGGGACTGTGGACCACGGGGCAGGAGGGAGGGCTGACGCTTAGGTGCTGGTGAGGCCACCAAACTGGGTGTGGCACTCTGGGTAGAAGTGGGACAGCCCCTTCTCCCTGCACAGAGAGGGCGGGGCTAAGCGACCATGACCAGGAGTGAGGAGGGTTAGAGCAGGGATTCCCTGGGGGGTGGGGTGAGGGGGGAGGGCTGTACCACTGTCTCCAGTCTGTACACTCCTGCTGGCGGTAGTAGGATGGCTCGGGACCCCACAGCCCAGCGCCAGCCCCCTGGGTCCACCCCATTCCTAGGGTGGGTGGTTCCCAAGGTCTGTGCCTGGCATCGGGAGGCGCAGGCCAGCCGCTGTCCCGGGCAGCGAACTTGGACCACGTTGCACCATAGACGCCTCCCCAAAGATAAGGAGGCCGCCTCTGGAAACAGCTGGGGCGTGGCTCCCCACCATCCCTGCAGAGACTCCAGGAATGGCTGTCCCAAAAAGGGAGGGGGCAACCCATCTCGAGTTCCTTGTGGCCCTGGGGATGTTCCCACTGTGGTCCTCTTGATTTCCCAGAGGTGTGGGGGTTGGGGGGCTCAGAGGCTGGGATGTCCCGCATGTGAAGGCTTGAGGGGAATTCTTGGGGGGTTACCAGGCTGAGTCTCCCTTGGTACTGTTCCCCATCCCATACCCAGGGGAAGGCCGGGTCAGAGTGGGTGGGGTTGTGTCTCAGGCTGTTTGCATCTATTTGCATTTTAGAGGTGAGCTGTCCCTTCCCCCACTCCAGCCTGTCTCTCAGGGGGCTCCAGCATGTGCGGGGGAGCAAGCCTTCCTGCTCCTGGGGAGCCCCTTCCGCACATCCTGGACCCCGGTGCTCCACACCCCTGGGCGAGGGATGAGACTGGAGCTGCCTGAGCAGCCCCGCCTTTCAATGAGTCCCCACGGGTCCCCAGCGCACCCCCAGCCACTACTTAGTGGTCGGCCAGCCCCAGGACCTGCCTCGAAGCGAGGGTGGATTCCAGATTGCCATTCTCGATCTCCTGATCTGGAGCCCAGGTCCTCGGGTCAAGTGTCAGAAGGGGGGGCGGGGTGCCGCGGGGCGGGCCTCTAAGAGGCGGGGTCCCAGCTTCCCTGAAAGGCGCGCTCCCGGCGGGTCCCACCCAGTCCAGTGCTGCCGTCTGTTCCTGCTCCACCGTCCGTACCAGACCCAGCGCCGCTATGCCCAAGTGCCCCAAGTGTGAGAAGGAGGTGTACTTCGGTGAGCGACCTCTGGCCCATTCCTGGACGAACCGCGGTGCCCCGAGCCCCGGGGAAACCTGGTGGAGTTCGCTCCGGGTGGGGGCGCCTGGGGACCCCGGGAAACCGACCCGGGAGTGGCAACTTCAGCCCTGCACGCAACTATGGATAGGCGGGTTGGGACCCCTGCGTCGGATGGGCTTTCCGTCTCCGGGTCTCCCTGTCTCTAGGTCCCGGTCTCTCCCGCCTCCTCCTCCTCCTGGGCGCGCCCTGGGCGGGGACCCCGCTGGGCAGGAAAGAACGCAGGGCTCGCGTCGCCCCTCCCAGCGCTAAGTAAAAACAGACGCGGAAACCGGTACCCGGGGCGCTGTCCCAGGCGCGCTTTGCTCCCGTGCACCGCGTTCCTGCCCCGCGCCCGCGGTCCCACCCACAAGAGATGCAGGAGGAAGTGGGAAGCCCACCTACCCCGACCCGACCACAGAGAAGGCTCCCTGCAATCCCCATCCCAGTGACCGGTGCAGAGTCCCCAGGACTTAATCTGGTAGCCAGGCCCTCCTGACTGCGACCCCAGTCCTCAGCCCAGGGCTAGCGCCCCCTCCCATTTATCTGATTGGATTCAGCCCGGGTTCGGGAGGTACAAAGGCCGTGGGAGACTGTGCTTGGGCCACCAGGCATGGGTGGGAAGGCCCTGGGGAGAGGTGGCGGGGGAAGGTGGGTGTGTGTGTTGGGGGGGGTGTGCTCCGTGTCCCCAGAGCAGTGTCCCATGGGGCCCTGTCTGTCTGTCTGTTTGCAGCCGAGCGGGTGACGTCCCTAGGGAAGGACTGGCACCGGCCGTGTCTGAAGTGCGAGAAGTGTGGGAAGACACTGACCTCAGGGGGCCACGCTGAGGTAGGGGGAGTCTGGGGGGCAGTGGGGGCAGGGTGGGGGGGAGAGCCCCTCACGGCCCCTCTCTCTGCAGCACGAGGGCAAGCCCTACTGCAACCACCCCTGCTATGCCGCCATGTTCGGGCCCAAAGGTACGCTCCCTCCCCGCAGCCTGACCCGACCTGCCACTGCCCTTGGCCACCCCTAATCTGCCCACTGTTTTCTCGGTAGGCTTCGGGCGAGGCGGAGCCGAGAGTCACACCTTCAAGTAGACCCAGGTGCACCCCTCCCCAACCCTGACCCCTAGCCTGCTGGCCCTCAGGATGGGCTTCCCCCACCCGTCCTGAGGGAGGCCTGCACTTACCTCTGTCCCTGTCTCTTTGTGCAGGTTGTGGCGACCCCATCCCCGGCCTGCTGGACCACTGCCCCTCCAGGCTGGTGGTGCCCAGCCTTAACTCCAGGCCCCTCGGGCTCCCCTGTAGCCCCTCACGCCCTCAATAAACCCAATGCTGGGAAGACCTGCCTGTGTGTGTCTTGCTGGGGAGTGGTTGAGGGGAGCTGCAGTGGGGGTCCTGAGGCCAGACCTTACACCGGGCCCCACCACAGGCTGCAGCCCCCTCTGCATGGAAGTGCCCTGGCTACCCTGGACAGCCCCATGGAAGCTCAGCTCTCCAGCTCCTGGGCCCAAAGGTGCCCCGGTCCTGTTGGGCGAGGGGAAGGCCCATGGGTCAGTGGGAACACCAGGCCACAAGGGCAGGAGCTGGAGGGTCAGCCACAGGGTGAATCAGCTGAGCTCATGCTGGTTCCGTTTTTGAGCTCTAGGGGAGTTGTGGCGGGAAGTCCTCCACTGCCCTCCCCACTTCCTGCTGCTCCAACTTAGCCCCCATCCTCAGCCCATCCCACCGACCTGGCCAGCTGTGCTTCAGCAGGGGCATCTGCCTGGACACTACTGCCCCTTATTTGACCCCACCCTGGGCCCAGGGACTACTCAGTGGCTGGCTGCCTAAATGGGGCATTTGAGGACAGGCCCTGTGGAGATGCTGGGGGCTTCCGGAAACTCCTGTGACACTTTGGGCAGCAGCTGCAGACTTGGCCACCCTCTGAGCCCTCCCCATGTCCCCCACTGGCCACTTGCCCTGTGGCCCAGCAGACATCACCCTCCCAGCTCTCTGCTGACCTAAGGAGCGAAGAGAGGTCATCTCAGCTTGGCATGTGGTCTTGGCCCTGCCCCAGGGCTGTGGTGGGGGCTCTGCAGGCCTGGGCTGGGCAGGCTGTGGGAGGCTAAAGGGCAGCATGCAGTGTTGGCTCTTTGTCAGAGAAAAATGGGGACTCACTGAGTCCCATGAGGTGGGAGCTGGAGTGCTCCTGGTACAGGTGGGGAAGGGCAGGGAGGAGGGAGCAAAGGTGCTACGGTGAGGGTGGGGTTCTCCGTGCACAGTGGTGGGCTGGGCCCGGGGACACAGTAAGCACACAGGGAAGCAGCCCTGAGCTGCCAGGACGCGTGGCAGAGGCCCTCCCAGCTGGGGGGGGGGGGGGGCAGGGATTTGGGGTGAGTGAGAAGAGAGGTGGCCTGCAGGAGGAGTGGGTCTGCCCAGGCCTCAGGTGGGGAGGAAAGCACTCCAGGGGGAAGACCCAGCAGGCACAAAGTCCGGACAGGCTTCCAGACCCAACATTAGGAGCCATCGGGTGAGCTAAGGAAAGTGGTTTTATTCTGAAGGCCACAGGAGGGTGGCCAGAAAGACCTTTGAGCTGCTGGGCAGCCAGAAGGCAGGGCCAGACTGGAGGCCTGTGCTTCCCAGCCTGAGCAGAAGATGGATGTGGGAGGGAACTGGTAGTGGGGGCTGGGGGAACACACAGCAACGCCCCTGTACTGGTGAGGGTGTGTGCCAGTAAGGGGCTGCCCCTGAGGCGCAGGGGAGGACATGTACACGAGAATGCCTGCTCGAGGTGGGGGTGCTGGGGCAGGGGATCCAGGGGCACCTGTGGTGGAGGCTGGGGGAAGGAAGAGGTTGGTTATGGGGGACACATGGATGAGGAGCTGGCTTTGCCTGACAGAGAGGCAGGTGAGCAAAGGTGAGGGCTGGGAGGAAGATGGGGTCTGGTGTGACTGCATTTCCTGTGGGCTTGGCTGGGGCTGGGGAAGGTTGGGGTCCAGGACTGACTTCCTCTCTCTCTCTCTCTGTCTCTTCCACTCCTCTGCCCACGCTCTGTCTTCTTTACAGCTTCGAGGTATAATTTACATTCCATAAACTTCACCTGCATACATTTAATTACTGCAACAAGTTCACGCACTTCTGCTGCCACAGGCCAGTTCTAGACCACTCTGGGCACTTACGAGAGTCCCCCCGTCCCCGTCCTGGACTCTTTCCAGGCCATGGAATCTGCTTTCTGTTCCTACAGATGGCTTTTCTGTATTTCCTAGATACGCTGCACAGACCGGCTTCTTCCCTGTCCGAGCTGCAACCAACCAGCAGCACGTGGCAGTGGTGCGTGGCTGCTGCTGACCACCGCCCCCTGGATGGGTTTACTGTTGGGCCGGCGGTCCTGTTGTTTCGTTTTGGGTTGCCATCAACAAAGCTGCTGTGCACTTTCGTGTATGTGAACACAGTTCTCGTGCGTTCCGATACTGGCACTGTAGGGTAAATTTATGTCTAACTCTGAGAGCCTCCAGTTTTCCGTATGTTCTTTCAAAGACTGTCTCTTTAATGGTGGGACGGAGAGACTAAGGGTGCAGGACAGAGGCAGGCTGGGCGGGCTGGCAGTACAGAGAATGGACTGGGCCCGGGAAGTCTGTACATGTAGGTTATGGTGGGGCGAGTCGCTGGCCTTCCCCGAGGGGCCTCTCGCCCCCGCGCAGCGGGGCTGAGCTGTCCGGGGCCCTCCTCGGCGCCCAGGCGGTGGCCCCGGCTTCCCAGTCCTGGTGCGCGCTGCAGCGTCCGGGCGACCCCTGGCGGCCAGGCCGGAAAGGGCATCGCGGAGGTGGAGGGTCGCTGGCTGGGTCCGTAGTGCCCATTTGCGCGAACCTCCGGGATGCAAGGGCTCCCGAGAGCGGGCGCAGACCTTCCCGCAGTGGCTAGTCTACCGCTTGGTGCAAAGGGTAAGACGCTGATTGGTGGAGTCTATAGTGTCGAGTGTCGCCGCAATTGGTCAGCACAGAGCGGACTCCGTCGGAGCTCTTGCCGCCATTGGTCCCCGCTAGGCCGGAAGTGCCTCCGCAGCGGACAAGGCGGACTGCACTCACTCGCCCGAGGCGCCGCTCATTGGGCCGGGGTCGGAGGCGTGGCCCAATCCAAGCGGAGAGAGCGCGCGGACGCAGCAGTGGCGGCACAGGCGCGGGAATAGGACGGGGGCGGGCCCGTCGGCGGTGCCGTGCGATCGAGCGAGGCGGGTGTCGGCTGCCGGCTGCATGGGGCGGCGGCGGCGCCGGGTGGACCGGGCGGATGGGGCGGGGGCCTTGCCCGAGGCCATCGCCTCGCTGAGTCGGACGCTGCCCGGCGGTCCCAGCCCCGAGACGTTTCGCCGCGCCAAGTTCGACCGTCCGGAGGCGGTGAGGCGCGCAGGGCAGGCGTCCAGGCCCGCTGGGATCCCGCAGGGAGGCAGCGGGGCCTGCTGAAGGCTTCCCTCTTTCACTCTCAGGCCCCGGCGCTATGGCGGCTGCTCTTCTGTGTGCTCTCGCAGCTGGGGGTTGGCGGCGCCACGGCCTCCCCCGCCCCGGGTAAGCCCGGCGCCCGTGGGCTCTATACGACACTCTACTCTCTGTCCCCGCCCACTCTGGGCACCCCAATCCTTCCGTAAAACCCCTGTTCGGAGGGCCTGGCCACGCCCACCCATGTAAGCCCCGCCCCAGTAGGACCTGCTTCCGGGGTTCACTAGGTGGTGGCTCTGGCCCAGTCCACCTTCCCAAGCCCCTCCCATCAGCCCAGGCCTCCGGTAAGTCCCGCCCCCATGGGCTCTAGCCCCTCCCACCGCATAAGCCTCGCCCACCTTTTCATCCTGGTTAAGCCCCAACAACCTCAGGGCCTCTTTTTGGGAGTCGTGGCGGGGGTCCCTTAGGGGTCTGGGTGCCGTCCCTTCCAGTAGGTAAGTCCCCTGAGCCGCTCGTCTCTTACTCCCAGAGGCCCAAGCCCGTTGGGTGAAGTCAGAGCTGCTCTCCCAGGGCTACCCCCGGCAGGGGCTCGCTCAGCTCCCCGAGGATGGTTCCGGGGGCAGCCGCGAGCTGCTCCTGGCTCTTTCCTGGCTCCTGGCCCGCCAGCCCCTGCCAGAGCGGCTGCTGGCCCAGACCCACGTGCAGCTGGGCGACGAGATGCCTGTGTGTGAGGTGGGTGTGTGGTGGGAGCTGGCCAGTCCCAGCCGTGGACCCGAGACCCTGGGCGCGGCCTGCCAGACCCGCGGGAGGACAGGCCTGGCCACCCTCAGGACAGCACTGTGTGGGTCAGTGTTGTCATCCTGCAGTCCCAGCGAGGGCATGGAGGCTGGGCCTCCACTGGCCTCCCTGTCCGGCTCCCTAGCCCCTGCTCTCCCTGCCTGCCCTTCTGGGCAAGCAGGGGGTGTGCCCACAGCTTTGTCCCCGACCCTTTCCCTGGTGCCCTCGGGACCCCATGGCTCTCTCTCTCTCCCCCTTCTCTTTTCCCTTTTGGGGTCTCTGCCGTGGGTGGGAGCAGGGCCTGACCCTCGCTCCCTCTCCAGTGTGACATCCTGGCCAGCCAAGGCCTGCCTGCACCAAGAGCAGAAGCAGATGGCCCCGTGGATGCCCGCCACCTGCAGTGGCTGATGGGAAAGCTGCGGTTCCGGTGGCGAACACTGATGGCCAGTCAGCAGGAGCAGTGTGCCCTCCTGGGCAAGGTAGTGCCCTCGAGAGCTCTCCACCCAGCGGCAGCTGCCCTCCTGTTCCCGGCTGTCAGGCTGCTGCTTGCTGCATGTGGCTTGTTCAGCAAGGGCTGTGGCCTTAGCCTTTGGCTGGACATAGGCCTCCCAGGCCCGGCTGGGGGTGACTTGTGGGGCACTGCCCTGAGGTGGGGAGGAGCCTGAGCCCAGGACTCCAGGCAGTCCAGGAGGGGGCCTAGGGCAGGTGGAGCTGGCATTGCCTCTGGGCTTGACCTTTCTGTCCCCAGAAGTCCCTACATGCCTCAGGTTCTGTGTCACTGAGCAGTGGATCAGGGTCCATGCCTTGGGGGAGTCACTGCCTGGGCACCCCATCCTCTGCGCCCTGCGTACTGGCTGGTGAGCAGTGGGTAGCTCCTGTGTGTTCTGAGAGCTGATGGGACTCGGCTGGCGGGTGCAGGCATCCCTCCACAGGCCCAGTGCAAGGTCTGGGCCAAGAGGTGCCTGGGCAGGCGGCCTGGGGCTCCATCCAGTGCAGGGCTCCTAGGTGCCCAGACTCCTCCAGCCCACGTCACCGCCTCCGGCAGAGGGTCTTCTGCTTGGATGGTCTTTCCTAGAACTTCTCATGTCCTCTTTCCTGGCCTCAGCTCCTGCTGCTTGGGCCGTGCCGCAATGTTAACCTGCAGGCTCACCTGGCCGGGGAACCCTCTCTGCCCCCGGGCCCAGGCAGATTGCTGTGTACTCCACTGCTGGACTGCTGAGCTTATCCACGGCCTGTTTCTCTCAGCACATGGTCCTGGCACTTGATGAGTTAACGGAGGAAGGAAGCAGGGGCACCCCTCTCTGCGCCCACAGTGTTCCTGAGCTAGGTGGGATGGGCGGCCATGGGGGACTGCCCAGGGCCTCTGGCCGGCTTGGGGCTGGTCCCCAGGGGCTGAGGGCCGTCCTGTCCTGGACTGCTGTGGCCAGCTGCACCTCTGTGCCTGTGCCCTCCTGTGTAAGGCGGCTCTGAAGGCCCTGGCTCAGCCCGGCTCTGTGCTGCCCATTTTAGATCCACTGGTACACTCGAGGCTGCCACAGTGACCGCCGCCTGGGCCACCTGTCTGTTGCCGAAACGGAGCTGCTCAGGGACCCTGAGAGTGGCCGGCAGGTGAGGGCTGGTTGGCTGGGGTGGGAGGGGCCGAGGGAGGGCCTGGTTTTGCACCCTTCCTGTTTGCCAAGCCCAGCACCTTGCTGGTGTGGGGGAAAGGCACGCATCCAGAGGCCTCTCTGGCCCCCAGACTGCCTGGCACCTCAGCAGGGCGGACTGGCTGCTGTGTGCCCAGGTGGCCTGCATGGGCAGGGCCAAGGGTGGTGGTGGAATTGAGGGCGAGCACTGCAGTGTCCCAGCTCCTGCAGGTGTCACCTGGTGATGGGCTGCTGTCCCCTGAGGGCTGGGCTCTGGCCTGTCCAGACTGTGAGGCTGGTACTGCCTGGCCTGGGAGGGGTGCTGAGAACTATGTGGCCCCTGCTTCCTGTCCCAGCAGGCCCCAGCTCCCAAGCCGTGCATTCACAGGGCGTCTGCCTTCCATTGTGGGGTCAGGTGCCCAGGCAGGGATGCCCGCTGAGCCTGTGTCCCTGGCTGACATCTCTTTGAGCCCCACCTGGGCGGGGAAGGGCTGTCTGGGCCCTGGAGGTGCTGAGGTGGCATCTGGGTGTCTGAGGTGCCCTTGGTTCTGTCCCCTTTTAAGGGTGACTTTGTGAGGTCCTGGCTTGCTGTCCCAGTCCCCACGTCAGCAGAGCAGAGGCTGCTCCAGCTCCAGCCTAGTGCTGCCCGGTCCCCAGTCCCTGGTCCCCGGGGTGGTGGGCGGGTCAGATGCGGGCGGCTCCCCCTCTTCCTGGAGGCTTCGCCTGTTGGTGCCTCAGGGCCACGGACAGGGTGGCCCAGTTGACAGAGGCTGGGGTTGGCTTCCTTTCGAGAGACTTCTAGATGGGGAGCTGGTGGGAGCCTGGACCACCCACACACAGGGCCTACTCTCCTGGGAAGGCTTTCAGAGGCTTCTGGAATGATCCGTGGTGGCTGGCTGAGCCTTTCCTCATATGTTGGGGCCCCACCCTGCCCCAGCCCTTGGGAGGGCGGGGGCTGTGGCCTTTCCCTCCGCAGTGCCTACCTGCCCCCCTTTCCCATGGCCTGTGGGACTGTTCTTGGCTAGTGTGCATGTGCACATGTGTGTGTGCACGTGTGCACACATGTAACTGTGGTGTGAGCATGTGGGCTGCACGCTCCGACTGTTTCAGCCCTTCCAGGCCGTGGGTCCCCCAGGCTGCAGGCTGATTCTTGCTGCAGGCCTGCCTCCACTTGCACTGGCGGTGTGCTAGGCTGGGCCCTCAGTTAACCATTCAAGGCCACCCCCGTCTGGCCCCTTGACCAGGTTCCAGCTACGCAGCAGGTGCCTAGCTGCCTGGCCAGCACCTGGGTTGTCTGTGGGGCTGGGGATGTGAGGGATCGGGGGGAGACCAGCAGCCCTTCCCTGGCTTGGGGCAAGTGCACTGGTCCCCTGTGAGTGGTGGCCTGGCTGAGCTTGCGTTTGGCCCACATGGTGGCTGCCATGTTCTGGACACTCGTCCCAGCCTCAGCATAAGCTTCTGGGTTCCCAGAGGGCCCAGGACCTCCGTCTTCTGGAAGGAGCCGTGCCCGTGGCCAGTACCTGGCCGAGTGTTCAGAGAGGAGCCACAGCAGGCGCCCAGCCCGGGGGTACCCAGGGGGATAGAGACTGGACTGCCCCTGCCCAGCTTGTGGTGGGCCCTCAGGTAGTCATGCCACGGGCCACTCTGCATGGGCTGGAAGTGCGGAGTGTGTGGTGACCGATCAGCCAGCTCTGGGCCACCTGGGTGCACATGTGCTCCTGCAGTGTCCACAGGTGCGGGGCTCTTGGGGCACAAGATCCGTGGGCGCCAGCCTTGCGTGCTGGGCGGGCTGCTGCAGGGCTGTAGTGGCTAAGGGCTGCGAGGGGGTTGGGGGTCTTCTCCATCACTTCCCTACTGGGCACTGCACAGCCTCTGCCCTGGCTTGGGGTTCCCCTCCCCCAGAGCCCAGCAGCCTCCAGGGTGCGGCTCCCAGTCAGTGAGGGGCGTGAGACAGAGGTCCCAATTCGGGGTACCTGGGCTGACCACTGACCCTGAGGGGCTTGCAGCTGGGGCTGGTGTGGGGGACCACAGGCCTGCTTGGAGGCCTGGTTGTGCGTGGAGGCGGGGCTGCCCTGCGGCGCAGGGAGATGGCGGGGCCAGGGCTGTGCCAAGGGGACTGGGCACAGTGGCCAGAGGGAGGGGCGGTGCTGGGCAGAGTCCCCGCACTGGGGTCTGAGCGCCCTAGGAGTCCTGCCTCAGCCTGGGCTCTGGTTTGCGTTGCAGCTGCTGCGGAGGCTGGAGAGTGAGAACGCACGCCTGGAGGCCGCTCTGGAGTGGCGGCACCGGGAGGTGGTCTTCTGGCCCTGGATGGTGAGGACTCTTGGCCCCCTCCCCTCTCCCGCCCCCCTTCCCTGGCCCTGACGCGGCAGCCCCAAGGCCACACCCCAGCCTGGCCTGAGGCCGGCCTTGCACCCAGGCCCGCCGTGCTGGGTCTGGGGTTCCCTTCAACATGTCCAGCGGTCCCCCTCGCACCCTGCCAGTCCCTGGGGCAGCTCACACTTCCCAGAGGCCTGCAGGGTCCTGGCCTTCGTGCCCCCTGGCCTGCAGGCCTGCCTGGGTGACACCAGCTGTCCAGCTGGCTGTGTGACCTGGGCCTCTGTCCCCACCGGTCAGGAGCTGGGCTGTGCCTGCGGCGCTGCGGCCTGTGCCGCCCTCACTCGGGTCTCCCTCTGCAGGACACGGTCCTGGGAGCCTGCCCCCCGGAGACCCCACAGCCTGCGTCTGTGCCCAGGCCCTGCGAGTTTGGGGCTGAGGAGCTGGAGCGGCAGCTGCGGGCCCTGCAAGAGGAGCTGCGGGCTGCGGTGGAGGCCCGGCGGGCGGCCTGGGAGGCCAGGGTGAGGGCACCCAGTTGCTGGCTTGCATTTGGAGACGACAGCGGGGCTCATGTGGGCTCATCGGGGTGTGGGTGGACTCCGACGGAGAAGGGGTGCGCAGGGAAGGCCCCCTCCCCAGCCCCTCGGGGCCCCTCCCTGCCCTCTCCCGCCCGTGTGGCCTGTGTCACTGGCTGGTGGGCAGGCAAGCGCCTGGGCTTCTGGCTTCCTCCTTGGAAGCACCTGGACCTGTGGGCGCGGTTTTTCCCTAAAGTCTTCAGCGGGGCGTCTTCGGCGCCCGCGGCCACCCCGCTGTGTCCTTGCTGTTCGTGTCTGCTCCCCGCCCTGGTGCTGACAGCTGATGTCTGCAGGGGGTTTATGGTGGGAACGAGGCTGGCCCTTGTCACAGCTCAGGCCCCTCGGTGCCCCTCGGTGCTTCCTTGTTGGGAGCCCCTGGGGCTCAGGGTCAGGGTGGTTCCCTGGGGACCCACGGCTGCTGCTCGGGGTTCAGGGGCTCGGTGAGGGTGGACTAGAGCCTGGAAAGGCCGGGCCTCTGAGCCGGTGTGGGGTGGGCCTCTGCTCCCTGGGAGCTGAGGGCTCTAGGCTGGAAGCCCCTCTCAGGGTATGGGTGGGGGCTGTGGGGCCAGCAGGGGCCACTGTCAGGGCTGAGTGAGTGCCAAGGGGACCTGAAGCCGGTCCCGGGCTGGATGTGGCTGCACTTGGCTCCCGTCACTGCTTCTCCCATTGCAGGTTGGAGGCCGGGGCCTGGAGTGGAGCGTTGCCCAGCGGGCCACACAGGAAGCTGTGGGTCAGGAGCTGGTGGCCCTGCGGCAGGCCTGGGAGCGAGGTGGGGACCTGGCCCGGGCCCATGGGCCCTGCCGGCTGGTGAGGACCGAGGCTGGGGTGCCAGCGGGCCCGGGCCTGCAGGCTGCCCAGGTGATCAGGGTGCTGCAGAGCCGGGAGGCCTGCCTGGAGGAGACGCTGCGCCAGCTCCAGGCCCAGTGTCAGCAGCAGCTGGCCAGGCTGGCGGGAGCCCTGCCCAGCCTCATCTGGATCCTGCCTCCTGGACGCTGAGGACACCTCTTGTGACCTGGCCCAGCCTCAGAGGGGCAGATTCCACGCTCAGTGGCCACAGGGTCGACACAGAAGCAGGATCCCAGCCTCCGAGCCCTGGGTTCGGCCCCACTTTGGACAGAGCTCGGCCCAGGCCAGCAGCAGCGGAGCTGCCCAGACATTCCCCAGTCAGGAGGTCGTGGCAAGTCCAGTGAGGTGGCTGTGGGCTTTCAGGGTCCAAGGGGTCTCCGAAGTAGAGGTGGAGGCCACCCTGCAGGGGCTCGGCTGCTGGCTGCGCCTCCACCACACTCTTAGGTTGCTGTCTGGGGGCGGGAGTGGCAGGGAGACCCTGGCAGTGGCGCCTGGACGGGGCAGGGCCTGCAGCACAGGGTGGCGTCAGGGCCCTGGGGGAGGGCATTGCCCTGGACGCCCTCTGTGTCCCTCATCCTGGCTGTCATTGTGCCCCCTGGGTGCGCCTGCGCCTGAGCCTGGCATGTGCGTGGGGGGCTCCTGGAGCTGGGGGAGGGGTGGTGCGTGGGGTGAGGGGGTGGCCACCGTGGACAGAGGGGCTTTGTCCCTGAGGCTGCTCAGTGAGCGGGGCTCAGTCCTGACAAAGAGCCGTCTGTGTGCAGGGGGTGGGCCCTCGGCTGCTGACACAACGGCCCCCCAGGAGGCGCAGGCGGCCTCAGCCTTGTCCCCTCTCCAGGCTCCCCTCTTCCCAGGGCAGTCCAGTCCCAAATCCCAGTGGCTGCTGGGCCAGTGAAGGGGCTGGTGGGAGGGCTGCCTCCTGTAGCTGCCATCTTGGGCCTGCGCCGCGCCCACCCCCGGGGTCTCCTGCCCACCCCCTCCTGCCAGATGGTCTCCGCTCAGCCTCCCCTGCACACCCCTGAGCCTGTGCTCCTGGGCCAGTCCCCAGGGAGTCCCCAGGCCTGCGCCCACTGTCCTGGCCTGGCACCTCTCTCCACGCCCTTGGCACCACCGCCCCAGCTGCTCTGGGTCCCGTCACTCCCTGCTGGCTCTAGCTGTGGCCCTGCACACGGGGCCAGATCCTCCACCTGCACCCTCGGGTCCTGTGAGGTCACTCCTGGACCCCTGCAGCCGTGCCCCTACTGCGCCCTGGGCCGTGTGGACTGCCGGCGGCCAGGACAGCCACCGGCCCTCGCACCCCTGATTGTTAGGAACCTAAATGAATAAATGGAGCTGTCACTTCTCAAACTGGCCCACAGCCGTTACAGTCTGGGTCACCCCAGTGCCTGTGCCTGGGGCTTCAGCCTCTGGCCTGAGAGGCCCGGACGAGGGAGGTGGCCCCAGGGGCGCAGGCTCACCCGGGGGCTGAAGGGATGGGGAGCGGGGCTCCGGGTGTCGGAGTGACAGCAGTCCTGCCCTGCCCGCTGGGCCTGAGGTCTGGCCGCCTCGCCACTCGGGAACCGGGTGTGGGCAGGTGGCAGGCCCTCAGCGCCCACATAGGCTGCCATCTCTGATTCCCTGTCCCCTCTACCCCGAGGGTCCATGCGACCCCACTGCCCCCAGCCCCAGGCAGCCTGAGTCTTCTGGTGCCCAGGCCTGACACCAGGGGACACCCTGCCCCACCACCCAGGCCTGTGGGACAGCTGCAGCCTGCACTGGTGGGAGCCAGTCAGCGTTGCATGTCTCCCGAGGGCTGCGGCGGGGGACCCTCAGGGACGCGGGCCCTGCAGGAGGCAGGACACTGCTCTGTGAGGAGCGGCTTCCTAAGGCCAAGGGAAATCAGACTCCCCAGCTACGAGGCTCTGCTCTTTCAAAGACCGCACAGAAAGTGCAGGCCAGCCAGAGCAGCGAGTTTGTTTGTGGCTGGTAAAGAGCTGGTGCAGAACTCTGGCTGGCGTAGCTCAGAGGGTTGAGCGCAGGCCTGCAGACTGCAGGGTCACTGGTTCAATTTCTAGTCCAGGCACGAGAAGCAACCAGTTGATGTTTCCCTCTCTTCGTCCCTCCCTCCCCTCTCTCTAAGAATTAAAAAAAAAAAGAAGCAGAGAACACAGAACTGTCATTTAGGGGGAGAAAAAAAAGTGTAGAAAACGAGCAAAACCGAAGGACAGGCACCTCCAGGAACAGGAAACAGGAAGTCAGATAACAGAGTCTCGGCTCCTCTGTAACCGCTGGAAGCCGTCGGGCGGGCGCACGGCAGGGCCTGCAAGTGCTGGGGTTCGTCCTGCCCGGCCCCTGGCAGAGCCTGCTGCACCCTCCCCGAGCTTCCTCCTCTCCCCAGTCTGACCCCAGCCACTTTACACCCGAACCCCCAGCTGCAGCCCCACTCTGTCCCCATGGATCTCACTCCAGGGTCCGACACTCAGCATGACCTCCTCAAGGCCCACCCGTGTCCCAGTGGGCATCAGAATGCCCGTCCTTGTCCAGGCTGGGGCACCTTCTGTGGTGTGGAGGGACCGTGTTAGGTCATGCACTGCTCCATCACAGGCAGGGTTACATGTGCGTCTCGACGGCTGTGAGCGTGGGGGTGCACGCGGGTCTTTTTAGTTTGGTTTTGTAGATCTCTGGACGTGATGGAGACAACTGTGTGGCCCCCAAGACCCTGGCATGTGGGGAGTCAGGGGGTCAGCCAGCAACCCCCCCAGATCTCTCTGGGTCTGAGGTCTTGCTGGCCGGCACCCCCAATCAGAGGCCCCGCCCTCCTGTTCAGGGGGTGGTACCACTCAACACTTCTCCACGCCCCTCGGCCGAAGAGAACGGCCAGCAGTTCAGCGTATTGGGGCCAAGCAACACGAATTCCAGTCCTAATGACTTGGTATCACTTAAGGGGAGAAAAAGCAACAATAACAAAAACTGAAAAGAAAAAAACAGTTCTTAAAGAGCTACACTTACGTATTAATAGGGTGTCTGGCCCTGTGGGGCTCTGCCCCCCTTTTCCAGCCCTCAGCCCGTTCACTGCCACCTGGTTACCTGGGGCTCGGTGGCTTTCGCCTGGCATTGGGCTGCTTGTCTCAGCCGCTGCGGTGGCACCAGCCTCGCGGTGGGACCCGCTTCTGAGAGCCTGCGCTCCGTGGAAACACCCCCGGGGCATCCGGCAGGCTGAGTGCGCCTGCGTGTCCCTCAAAGCCCCGAGTTGCCTTGTAGTGCCCGAGAGGGCCCTGCAGCGCCCCGGGGAGTCTGGGAACCACGGTGGCGGCCACTGCTGACGCGTGTGTGTCTCCCACGCCATCCTGCTTTAAAGCCCCGCCCTCGAGGCCGTGTGCACAGCTGAGTGCCGCTCTGTCCGGCAGACGGTGTCCCTAGTCCCACTCGTGTGCCCGTCCACGTCCCCCACCCGGTACCCGGGCTGCCCCCGACTCTCGGCCGCCTCCGGAGACCCTGCTCTCCGGCCGTGGCCACACACAGCCCCACAGGAGCAGGCCGATGGCACCTGCCGGTCCACGTGTAGCCCACAGCCACGTTCACGGCCGTGCGCCTCCCTCTTCGTCCTGCACCTCTCACAGGTGCGCCAGGTGGGCAGGTGCTGAGCCCACCCCAGTTCACAGGACTTCAACCCCTGCATCTGTCTGAGCCTCTCGGCCCCAGCCCCGAGCAGTCACTCCTGCAAGGCGTCCGTCCTGGGGCGTATCGGGGAGGAGGGTCTGGGTGCCAGTGCGCTGGGTGCACACACACCTGTTTCCACACCTGCCTCGAACCCACCCGCACTCACACAGAGCCCGCAGGTGGGTCCTGGCTTAGCCCAGTTCTGTGCGTCCTGGTCTCTGACCGCGAGGAGCTGGCCCCTCCGACTTCAGGCTCATCATGTGTTTGTTCCGCCCCAAACCTCCCCTGGCCCATGCTGGGCGTGCGGCTGAGAGCCCAGCCCCAGACTCAGAAGGAAGGACATGGCAGGGAGAGGGACGAGAAGGAAGGCCAGTCAGGAAGCTTGGTGTGGACACAGGCCCGACTGTGCCGCGTCCCCACCCCCTGACCGGTGAGTGTGACCTGATTAGGAAAGGGCCTCCAGGTGTGATAAGTCAGGGACCCTGAGGTAAGGAGACCATCCCGGACTGAGCGAGTGGGCCTTAGACTCAGTGACACAGGCATGGCGGCGAGGGGACGTGAGGACCGGGCTGTGAGCCGCGTGGACACCTGGGGTCCCGGCCCGAGGGGGCCTCCCCCAGAGCCTCTGGAGGGGGCGTCCTGCCAGCACCCAACGGGTGCTGGCCTTGGGGGAGAGCCGTGAGAGAATAAATTCCCGTAGTTGTAAGCCCCCGTGTGATCATTTGTTACCGCAGCCACAGGACACTAGTCCGGCCCCTGCCCCCGTGCTGTCCCAGCTCCCAGTGACCTTGTCACAGGGCGGGGCCTCTGCTCTCTGACCTTGCCCCGCAGCCCAGGCTCCTGTCGCTGGAGGCGGCTGCCCCTTCCACGCTCGTTTTCTGCTCCCTGGGGTTGGCGCCCCCCCCACGGCTTCTGTGGCGTCTTTCAAGTGTCGCAGAGACGTCTGCGGGTTGTCCGGCTTCTCACTGTTTCTGCAGCAAACAGCCCAGGTCCCATTCCTCGGCCGGCTCCAAGGAACTGTCCTTTCCTCAGAAGCAGACACCACGAAAACGTCTCTGACTCCTTTGTTTTCGACGACTGTGGCTTGCTGAGTCAAAGCAGCTGAGTCTGGGACAAGTTCAATGTCGTCTCCTGCGAGAAACCACTCATCTGTCTGGGCTTGAGATACTGAACAAGCAATGCCTGACCTCATCTGAACCCTGAGGATGCATTTTTTGCCCAAGAAATTTCTGATTTTAGCAAAAGAATGATTCTCCTGAACGTCGGCGTTGATGGGGAGGTGAGTGCACGGAGCTCACCCCGGACATAGGCCCAGCGCGACACCCTGGACCCTGGTCTGTGCGGGGCCGGAGGGTGCCAGCAGTGGCCAGTCCCTGCTAGTGCCCCCCAGCCCCACGTCACCCGGAGCCTCTAGCTCTCTCCAAGCAGACGGCGTCGTCTGGCATCGACTGGAAGTCCCTCTGCAGGGCGCCCCTGGGACCCTTCGCAACAGCCCCGCGTCCCTTCAGAGCGAGGCCGACACCTCCTGACGCCAACCGCCCGGTTGCTGAGCTGGTCGGTCCGCACCCTCACGGCGGATGCCGCAGAGAGAGCCTCCGTGCGCTTGTTTTAAATGTCTCGTAGAACGGGAACGCATCTGTCTGCTGACGGACGCTTCTAGCTCACTTGGAATTACCGGAACCACTGAGGGGTTTGGGCTGGAATCTACCATCTCACCCTGAGCCCCGTGAGCCCCGTGAGCCCCCAGCAGCTGTTCACTCCCGGCCGTGTCCCTGGGTGTGTGGAGGTGGCTTGCCAATAGGCTCCGCGTTTTCTGACACCGACCACCCCCTCACGGGCTCACTTGCCACCACCTGCCCTCTGCTGGGAAGCGGCTGCCCACAGAGTTCGGGGGAAGATTGCTGGGTCGTGCCTTTCGCCCCATGGGTGGTCTGCAGACACCGCCCCCCAGGCTGTCACTTGCCCCCTCTCTCCCCGAGCAAGGCTGTCGCCGCGACGGGCCCAGTTTACGCTGTGCTCGTGTGCACTGTGCTTCTGGGCTCCTATCTGAACTGTTTTTTGCCCAGCCACAGGTCAGGAAGGTTTTCTTTCATATTTCCTTCTCAAAGTTTTACACTTTCACATTGAGACCTGCCATCCGTGTTGCGCCAATCTTTGTGAGGGCGTAAGGTTCAGGTTGGAGTTTTTTTCGCATGTGGATGTTCAGTTGGGGAGAACACTGTTGTGTCTCTGTCGGGCCACCGGTGCACTTCAGGGACGGTTAACCGGCTGCCTCAGCCAACCAGGGACAGGAGGGGCGTTCCCGCACCTGCAGAAGGAACCCTCCAGGACTCTGCGGCTCACGTCACGCTCGGCGTGAACGGTGGAAGTGCCCCCTTGGGACCAGCGACAGGCGGGGATGTGCGCTCCGTCCACTCCTGTCCGGCACTGGGCTGGACCGTCCGACCAGGGCCATTAGGCGAGAAGCAGACGGCATCCAGGAAAAAACCAGACCACCTGCACGTGTAGATGACATGGTCTTGTGTGGAAAACCTGGGGGGAACCCACAGAAGTGATTAGGACTGACGGACGAGTTCAGTGAGGATGCAGGACACGAGATCCCGCAAAACCCACTGCATCTCTATACACCAGCAGCCCAGAAACGACGTGAAGAAGACAATTACGTTTACAACAGCGTCAAGGAGAAAAAAATACTCAGGAATAAACTTAACAAAGGTAGGGCACAACGTGTGATCTGAAAACTACAGAAGATTGCTTGTCAACCAAGTAACAAAGACCTAAGCTAACGGAAAGACATCTTTCATCACCAAACTGTTCTATCGATTCCATGCAACCCCTCTCAAAATCCCAGGCAGCTGCCCTGGAACTGACAAACTGATTCTGCACAAAAAAATGCAAGGGATGCAGAATAGCCCGAAAACAGAAGAACACGGCGGCAGGGTGCACACGCCCCGGAGCGAGAACTCACTGCAAGGCCACAGAGTGCCAGTGTGCCGTGGGCAGGAGAGGAGGCCCCGTCCACACCAGCGGAACAGCACGGACAGTCTAGACACAAACACTCACATTATGGCTAATTGACTTTTTAAGTTACATTTATTGGGGAGATGTTGGTTAACAGGATCAGATAAGGTTCAAGAGTATAATTCTTCCCTGGCTGGCGTAGCTCAGTGGATTGAACTCGGGCTGCGAACCAAAGTGTCGCAGGTTCGATTCCCAGTCAGGGCACATGCCTGGGTTGCAGGCCATGGCTTGCAGGCCATGGCCCCCAGCAACCGCACATTGAAGTTTCTCTCTCTCTCTCTCTCTCCCTCCCTTCCCTGAAAATAAATAAATAAAATCTTTAAAAAAACATTTAAAAAAGAGTATAATTCTGTGATATGCGATCTGTATATTGCACAGTGTGGCCAGCCCCCAAGGTCAGATCATCTCCCATCACCGTATTCTCGGCCCCTTTTGCCCCTGGCCACCCCACCCCTCCCTCTGGTGACCATGCTTCGTGCCATGCTTCGTGCCGCGGGTGCCAGGACAACTCAATGGGGCAAGAACAGTCTTTCCAACGAACGGTGCCGGGACAGTGGACTTCCAAACGGACAAAATCAGGCCCTGGACTAGTGTCCTGGGGCGGCTGGGTTCACCGTGTGGGCCTTGGAACCGCGCGCGCTAGGCCCCCCCTAGGTGGGGGGTGGCCAGCAGGCCCCGGTGCTCCTGGACGGCAGCCGCGGCTCTGACCTCACGGGCCTCCTTCCCTCGCAAGTCTGAGTCTTCTCAGACTTGCTCTCTCCTTATGAGGAGGTCAGTCCTTGTACTCAGGTGTTGCCAATTTAGCTGGATGACGTGGGCAAAGGCTCTACAGTTGACCCTTGAACTCGGGGTGTGGATTTTAACAGTCCTTCATGTAAGTGGAGTGCGCAGTTCAAACCTGCACTGTTCAAGGGTCAACTGTATTTCCAAATAAGGTCCCAGGTACAGGTACGGGGTGGGGGCTTCAGCATGTCTTTTGGGGTGGCCCTAATTTAACCCACAACAGATTCTGTGCTTACAACACACATCAAATTTAACTCAAAACGGATCATAGACCTAAACGTATAACCTAACTGGTTTTTTCTGGGTCTGTTCCCACGGGTCACACGGAGGCCTGGAGCACCACCTGCAGAGAGCCGCAGGTCAGCCTGGCCCCCACATCAGGGTCAGTTCCCGGGGCAGGAACTGGTCCGGGGAGCGTACTGCCTCGGGCAAGGGGGGTCACCTGGTAGGCGGCCTGGGTGGGAGCTGCTACAGAAATTCAGGACGCAGAGAGACTGGAGCACCCAGGAAGGTTCTCTGGCTGTGGGTGAGGAAGGGTGCAGTGATTTCCTGGGCCAGCGCTTGGACCCTGGGGGTATCCGGATCCCCAGTGGCAGCAGCCGCAGCCGCCACCGCCGCCACCGCCGCTGCGCAGTGCTGTTGCCGTGGCAACCGGCGCCGGACCCCATCCCCGCGGGCGGCGGGGCGCGTGGGGCGCGGGGCGGGGCCTCGGGCAGGGGCGGGGGGTGCAGCGGGGCGGCCCAGCCAAGGAGCGCGGCCTCGGCCCGGCGGAGGCTCCACGGGCCCGCGGGGCGCGGCATCTTCTGGGCAGCGGGTAGGCACCACCCGGGAGGGCGGTTGCATCCTTAGAGCTGGGAAGGGGCTGGGCCTGGGCGCCCCCACTGCCGGACGCAGGGGCGGTGGGATGCGGGCGCCGAGCAGGGGTGAGGCCTGGACGGAGGAGCGGAGGCGCAGCGCGCGGGGAGCGGCCCAGCCCCCTCTCTGCCCTCAGTCTGGTGGGGGCTGGTGGCGGGGGGGGGGGCGATGCGAGTGGAGGGCGGCGGCCCTAGCTCCCCCGCTCGTGGACACGGAGGGTGATTCTGGGTGGGGGCTAGAGCGAGGGACTGGAGGGCGGTGAGGGGCCCGAGGCCGCAGATCTGTGAGTGCCAGGCGGAGGGCGAGTGGGGGACACAGCAGCACCGGCCGGCCAGGGCGGCTGGAGAGGGCTGGTCAGGTCCTGCTCGGTTTTGGTGGCGCGGGCCAGGGCTCGCTCTGTGCGCTCGCGTGGGGATGGGGGTCTGCGCCCGGGTTTGAGAGGTGGCAGCGGGAGTGAGAGCTGGGGAAGTGGGTGCAGGGAAGGGGCTAGCTGCGCGGCGGCTCTCTGGCAGCTTGGCCTGGGTGAGCGGGGGAAGGAGATCCCCAGGCCGCCGCTGCAGCCAGGGAAGGCCCCCACGTGTTGTGTGGGGTCCCCTTGGACAAGCATGCCCACCCAGTGGGGGTGAGAACAGGGTGGGTGTGTGGGTGGGGAGCAGGAACTTATGAACTGTGGAGGGAGGGGCACCCTTGACTTCAGGTGTCTGAACTCAGAGTGGTCCGAGTCCTGCGTGTGGCTGCCAAGACCCCTGGGTCAGGGCCTCCTTCTGGTCAGTGGGGGCTGCTTTGTCATCAGGAGCCGGCCAAGCACTTGCTCCAGAGTCAGGGGTGACATTAAATTTCATGTCCCTGTCTAGACAGGCCAGTAAACAGAGCCCTGGGGCCGGGCTGTGGTGGGGAGAGAAGCAGCGAGGGGCTGGGCTGGAAGTGAGCCTGCTATGGACTTCTGGGTGGGGGAGTGTGTGCGGGCCTCCATCGCCCCCTCTCGTGACCCTGCCCGGGTGCGGGGCCCTCAGCCTGGTGTGTCTCTCCAGCCGGCACTGGCAGCCACAACAACTGGTGCCAGCGGCGTGAGGGAGGCTTGGGGCTGCGGCCCCGAAAGGGGTCCAAGTGGGCATAGGTGAAGGCGGCTTCCAGAGCCCCACATGGAGGTGCAGGGGGCCACCCCTTCCCAGGGAGCAGGCAGTGTGGGTGTGCTGGCCGGGTGCAGGGGCAAGCCCGGCAGGGCATGCGGCCAGGGCACCAGCCTCCCAAGGCTGTGGGAGCCATGGTGGGAGCAGGGCGGAGGGTGGTCCACGTGCCTGTGGAGGGTGGACCTGGGGGAGCCCAAGCCGGCTGGGGCAAGGGGGTGAGCTGCAAGGCCGGGGTAGGGAGGCATGGAGAGGCTTGTGGGCTGGAACCTCAGGACTTGGACCACTCACTCCTGGATCAGAAAACCCGGGTCTCAGGATGCGGCCTGGGCCTCCATCGGCCTCCCGCGCTCCTCCAGGGCGCAGAACTGGTGGCTACAGGCCCATGTCCCCGCCCAGCGCGGCGCCGGTGGGGAGAGAAGATGCCCGAATCCCCGTGGGAACGGCCTCGGGCGTGAGGCACAGGCCACCAGAGCGGGAGGGATGGTGGCGTGGGCTCAGTAGGGAGTAACAACCGGGACCCCGGGGATGCGCGCGGCGGAGAAGCCACTTCCGTTCCGTTGATTTCTCGGCGGGCGGCCGGCAGATCTCGGGTCTCAGGTTGGGCTGCAGCGCCCCCTGGAGGTCCCGCTCGGCTCCCGGTCGGGGCGCGCATTGGCGCGTGCGTGCCACTGAGTGCTCTGGCTAGTCGCAGGAGTTGGGGAGGCAGCCCCCACGGCTCTCTGACTCTGTCTTCTCTGGTCTTCCCAGGTTCTGAGTTCTCGGGCCAGGAGCAGTGGCGCCCTCGAGGCGGCTGGACGGGCTTCACTGCGCCATGTCCGCTGGCTGAGCGCCACCGCTGCCGGGCCTCGTCCCACCTCACGTGGGGGCCACGCGTCCCCAGGCCAGGGTCCCGGCGGCCCACCATGGTGTTGCCGCCCCCGGACCGGCGCCACGTGTGCCTGACCACGCTGGTGATCATGGGCAGCATGGCGGTCATGGACGCCTACCTGGTGGAGCAGAACCAGGGCCCGCGCAAGATAGGTGTGTGCATCATCGTGCTGGTGGGCGACGTGTGCTTCCTGCTGGTGCTGCGCTACGTGGCCGTGTGGGTGGGCGCTGAGGTGCGAACGGCCAAGCGCGGCTACGCAATGATCCTCTGGTTCCTCTACATCTTCGTGCTGGAGATCAAGCTCTATTTCATCTTCCAGAACTACAAGGCTGCACGGCGGGGCGCGGCCGACCCGGTGGCGCGCAAGGCGCTGACGCTGCTGCTGTCGGTGTGCGTGCCGGGCCTCTTCCTGCTGTTGGTGGCGCTCGACCGCATGGAGTACGTGCGCACCTTCCGCAAGCGCGAGGACCTGCGTGGCCGCCTCTTCTGGGTGGCACTGGACCTGCTGGACCTGCTGGACATGCAGGCCAACCTGTGGGAGCCGCCGCGCACTGGACTGCCGCTGTGGGCCGAGGGCCTCACCTTCTTCTACTGCTACATGCTGCTGCTGGTGCTGCCGTGCGTGGCGCTCAGCGAGGTCAGCATGCAGGGCGAGCACATCGCGCCGCAGAAGATGATGCTCTACCCAGTGCTCAGCCTTGCCACCGTCAACGTGGTGGCTGTGCTGGCGCGTGCCGCCAACATGGCGCTCTTCCGGGACAGCCGCGTCTCGGCCATCTTCGTCGGCAAGAACGTGGTGGCGCTCGCCACCAAGGCCTGCACCTTCCTCGAGTACCGCCGCCAGGTGCGCGACTTCCCGCCGCCCGCGCTCGCTCTGGAGCTGCAGCCGCCGCCCTCGCAGCGCAACTCGGTGCCGCCGCCCCCGCCGCTGCATGGCCCGCCCGGCCGCCCCCACGGGCCCTCGCCCACTCGCGATGCCCTGGACACGTGACAGGGCCCACACGGCCCCAGGACCCCCGCGGGCGCAGACGCTGGCTGGTGGGGCGTGCAGTGTGCATGGGATGGGGTGGGGGCGGGCTCCCCCAGGGCCCGGGTGCCCGAGGGTCAGGCCTGTAGCTGCTTCTCATCTCAGGGACCCACTTGGACCACTGATCTCAGCCTGGCTCCCCCACCAGCCCCACAGCAGGGCAGCGTGTGAGCGTGGAAAGACCCCCCTGAGCATCCTGGGTGGGAAGGAAGGGCAGAGGGGGATGAGGTCTGGTCCTTTGGGGTCCCTCAGTGGGAGCCTCTGGCTCAGAGTCTGGGGCCAAGCAGGCCTCTGTCATTTTAAAGACTCATGTTTACAGTTTTGTACCCACAGTCTCATGGTGCTGTTTGCTGCATCCTGGGGAAGGGGTGGGAGGAGGGGGTGTGAGTGAGTGCCACTCCCCAGGGGGCTCTCAGGAGCTCCTGGGGGGGGACAACTGCTGCTGTCCTAGAGAGCCCTCCCTCCAGCCTCGAGGTCCCCATCTCCAGAGGTCCCCGCCCCTGACTATGCTTGTCTGGAGTACCTTAATCTGGGGGTCCCCAGACTCTGGGCCTGTTAGGAACAGGGATGCACAGCAGGAGGTGAGCTTGAACGTAATGTGCTTGAGTCATCACCAAGCCCCCCCCCCCCCGCCCCCGTCTGTGGAAGAATTGTTTTCCTCCACAGGACAAAACTGGTCTCTGGTGCCAAAAAGGTTGGGGACTGCTGCCTTAACCCACCCCCAACCCAAGGGTGCACAGGCCTCTGTCCCTGTCCTTGCACCTCAGGTCCAGAAGTGTCCCCAAGCCCCTAATTCTACTCTGGTGCCAGGCTTCTCCCTCAGCCCACCACAGAGAGAGCCAGATGGGTCCCAGCTTTGCTGGCCAGGTGGCCCTGGCAGCCTTAGGCCAGGTACATGGAGCCTGGCCCCACCCCATGCAGCCTGGCAGTGGCCGAGGCCACGTGGAGCCCTCAGCTGCCCTGGCTCAGGCGACATGGCACCCTGGTGACCAGAGAGGCCAGGGCGCTGAGGTCCATCTGCAGATCTCTTACCCAGCCTCCCCCAGTAACCCAGGTGCCCTAACAGACCCTGGGGGTGGGGTGGGGGGAGCTCCTGGAGCATCTGGGAAGGTGGTTGCCATGGCTGTCTCAGGATGCCTTGCACGGTGACTGGGTGGTGGTGTAACGTCTCATCAGGTGGCACGGAGCATTGTGGAGCCTGGTGGCACTTCCTGATGCAAGGCCTAGGTCCCTGACCTCTGGGGGTCTATACCAGCCTCCCTCAGAAGGGTGGGAAGTGGCGCGAGGAGGGTCCTCTGGGAGCCCTTTTCCTCCCTGGAGGTTCGGGGCTGGGCTGGGACGTCACAGGGGCCCATGGGCAGGTGGCAGCCTCCCCCCATGCGCCCCGCTCTCCTTTCACCCCTCCCATACCCAAGCTCGCTGCCGCGGGGGTTTTGGCCTCTGGGGGTCACCTGCTCTGCAGCCAGCTGGCTTCCAGGATAACTCTCCTCAGCTGTGCAGGAATCACACCAGGGCCACAACCTGTTCCTGGCCCGGGAGCTCTGTGGGCAGCGAGGAGCCCTACGGGGAAGCAGGCAGACCCCCTTCTTGGTGTGCAGTGCCTAGGGGTCAGCCAGGCTGGCAAGTGGACGGGGAGAGGGCAGGAGCTGTGGGAAGGGGCGGTGGTGGGTGGAGCCACCCAGGGTTCGGGCAGTGGGAGGGGCTACACTGAGTCTGGGCCAGTGGAGCAGCGTGTGGGTGCTGTCTTGGGAGTGTGTGGCCTGGGAGGACCGGAGGGCAAGGCCTGCAGGGCCAGCTCCAGTTCTGGGTGTCCAAGCCTGAGCTGCCCCTCCTCCCCATGAGGCCAGAGCTGGTCCACCCTGTCCCTGCCTGGTCTCTGCCAGGGAGTCCCGTGGAAACAGCTCAGCTGTGATGGCAGGCCCGGAGAGCGGGGTTGGGGAGGGTCTGACTGCCATGCACCCCTCACTGCCGGTCCTGGGCTCCTGCCTGTTCTGATGCTTCCCCTCCCAGCATCTTCCTGAGGAGATGGCCCGGGGGTGGGGTCAGGGGGCAGTGATGGGGATGCTGCCGGGGCCAGCTCTGCCTGAGGCCCCAGGCTGCCCTGTCAGGTGGGAGCTGGGTGCCCTGTCAGGTGGGAGCGTGGCTTCCTCCCAGGGCAGAGAAGAAGGCCAGGGCTCACAGACCCTTGGGAACGCCTGTCCTCCTGGGCACTGCCTCCCTGGCCTCTCACGCTCTGGCTGTTAGCCCCACTCTGCTCTGACTTGGTTTAATAAGGGCCCATGAGCCCTCCAACTATGTCTCTGAGGTCCCTGGCGAGGCACCCATACACCCATGACCTGGAGTGCTGGCCTTGCAGGGCTGGGGTCCAGGGGCCTTTGTTGGTTGTGGCCCGAGGGGTCTGTCCTCTGCGTCCCCCTTGGGAATGGGGTGGGAAATGGCCACATTCTAGCTGTCCCCTGCTTCCCGAGGCAGCCCTCGATGGCCCGGAGCCGAAGAGGCCAGCTGGCCGACCCTGTGTCCTTCATCACTTTACTCGTCAGTCACCAGTCCTGATGGCGGGTCAGCTGCCTGCCCGCCCCTGCAGCCTGGATGCTGAGCCCAGGCAGAGGCTGTCTCTCCCTGCCCACCGGGAAGGCAGCCTCGTGGGGCTGCCAGACCAAGCGGAGCACCAGCAGGGAGGACCAGGGCGGCCTTTAGGTGGTGGGAGCTGGCGGGGATGCCAGGAAGCCACCGGCTGCTTGACAGAACAGCCCGTGGACTGTGGGGTAGAAGCCCACCTGAATGAGCTCCCAAGGGAGTGGACAGGAAAGTGGAGATGGCGCAGCCAGTCCCCGGGGAGGTCTGGCTGGGAGGGTGGAGTGGATGTCCTTGCAGCCCCTCCCCCCAGGGGGGTTCAGATGCCGCCTCCTCACAGCCCTCAGCAGATCAGAGAAGGCCACGGACAATGCCTAGTCGTGAGAGCCGTCTGGACAGCCATCCCTGTTGACACTCCAGAGCGGGACGAACCCTCCTCACACCTTGCCAGTGTTGGCTGGAGAGACACCCCCTTCTAGATGTGCGGGTGCACCTGATCTCAGGCACCTGGAGACCGCTTTCTGGCAGTCCCCTGGGAGTCAGGCTGGGCAGCCCCGGTCTACCAGGCCCAGCCTGCCCGCCTGCCCGCCTGCCAGAGAGCTCCGAGATCGCTCCCCGCCCCGCCCCGCCCCGCCGTGGGAGTCAGACTGGGCCTTCAGCACAGCTTCCCCTCAGTAGGTTGCGCACGGTGGGGACTAAATGAGCTGCCCATGTGACCCACCGAGGACAGTCCCGGAGCGTGGAAAGGGCAGACAAGCACCTGTCAGAACTCCCATTTTGGCGCTGTTTGGGAGAGGACGCTAATAAATGCCCATGTTCCACCCTTCGTTTTACTGCCAGTTCCCCAAAGGAACTCCCGACCCGCACGGAACAGGGAAGGCCCGTCGCAGGTGAAGTAGATGCGGCGCCGTGCAGCACCGCTCACGGGCGTCGGCGGGACCTCGGCCGGGACGCCAAACCCCCTTCCCCACACTGAGCTCTGCGAGATTTTCCCGGGGAAAGCTGCGCCGCGCCATCCGCGTGGCCAAGAACGGGGGCTCAGGGCGACGGGAGCCACGAGTTGGCGACATTTGGCAAGGGTGGAGAAGAATATCACTCATTCTTTACGGCACAAGGCTGAACACGGGGAAGCTCCGCGCTGGCACTCGCTGGCGAGGGGGCTCACGTGGCGCTGAGAACTCGCGAGCAGTTTCTAGGCCACCACAGGTCACTGCAAAGAAGCCGGGGCGCCTCAGCGGGGGTCGCGGACGCCCAGGTGGGTGGGGAGTGCCAGGCCGTGGCATGCAGGGCCGGGCCCGGGCGTCTCTGCGCGCTGCGGTTGGGCTAACTCTTCCCTCCCAGGAGGGCGACTCCGCGCCTTCGGAGAGACAGAAGTCGCACAGGTGGGTGGGCCTGGCGCAGGGAAGGGGGAGGGGGTGGGGGGCTGTCAGGGCGGGCCTCGCCACCGTGTGACGTCACACCGGGGCTCCCCCGCGAGGAGAGCTGGGGCGGGGGAGAAGAGGAGGGAACGCGTATTCTGGCAGGTGGGACCGCGCCTAGAGCTCGCGTGCCCGAGAGCCCCACAGGCGGAAGCACCGCGGCAGAGCACGCAATGCCTGGGGATGGCCACCGGGGGCTCCCGAGCCCCAGCCTTGCGCAGCTGCCGGGGCCCCGCCCACCTGGAGGCGGCGTGTGTGGGTGGGGGGAGGCGGGGGGGCGGGGTCTGGCTCCTGGGACCCCAACCCGCAGCGTCCTCACAGGTCCCAAAGGTGAAAGATTATATAAAATTCCAAAAGGAGAGACAGTGAGGGAAACCGCACCCACTCACAATTATGCAGTTGTACCGGCTTACGTCCCGCACCCTCCGACGAGGAGCCACTCCTGGGTCCCACCTGACACTGGCCTGACCTACCTCAAGCTCCTGCAAAACCTCATCCGTGAAGTCCCGGGATTCTCTTTGTAAGACACGGCCAATCGAATCGCATCGTCGAAGAGCTGTGGGAGGAGGGGGAGGAAGGAAACCTCCGCTGTGGGTGCCAGGGACCTGGGCTCTGCCTGTCTCGGACCCACTGGCCCCGTCCTAAGTCCGCACGACACTGCACCCCTCAAACCAGCAAGGTCACCCCTCAATGCACCTGCTTCCCATCACCCTGCCTCCACACCTGGTCCGTGGGCCCACCAGCCCCTCTGTCAGTAGTTACAGGGACCTTGCCTGTCACAGGCCCAGCCACTGCCCCAGGGCCCGCCCCCAGCAGTCAGCCTGGCCCTGCCCCGTGCGCCCCCGCCTTGCCTGGCTGCCTCTGTCATTACCTTGACGATGTCCGTGCAGTCTGCAGCCGAGGCAAAGTACAGGGGCAGGGAGAACTTCCTCGCAAAACTGAAGCTTTTTTGGCTCATCTTTATGTCGGCTGCAGAGAGGAGGCAGGACATCAGTCATCAAGGGGAAGAGAGGGGCTGGCGGGGTGTTTACTGGGAGGGAGGTGACAGTGTGGGACCGGGGGTGTATCTCGGGACCCCAGGAACCCCAGGCACCAGAGGCAGGGAGGGCTCACTGTCGCTTTTATTGGCCACCAGATCTCCAGCCTGAACTCCCGAAGCTCTGCGTGCCAGGTGCCCAGGCGCCTGTAGGTGACCTTCCTCTGCACGTCAAACACCTGCAGTGAGCAGAGGAAGGCAGCTCAGGGGAGTCAAGGTCCCTGCATGCCGCCCAGGCGACTC